TTCCTGAAATTAAAGTAGCTAAAATACACTTTTTTTTTTTTTAGGCTGAAGAAACTAGCATCTTTCGTTATTAGTTCGAAGTAGTTAGCATCCTTCCTTCTGAGGCCAAAGTGCATACTACTAGCCAAGGAGTCGAACCCATGCTGTTTTGGCCCGCTTCATGGTGAGAGAAAACACATGACGCTTTAGACCACTAGACCACTTTAGACCACTAGACCAGTGGTCTAAAGCGTCATGCGTTTTCTCTCACCATGAGGCGGGCCAAAACAGCATGAGTTCGACTCCTTGGCTAGTGCAGTGTTGTTTTATAACATATATCTATCTATCTATCTATCTATCTATCTATCTATATATATATATATATATATATATATATATATATATATATATATATATATATATATATATATATATATATGTCGTGCCGAATATGTAAAACTGGTCAGTTAGCAAGAACTCATTTAAAATTAAGTCATTTCTAAAATTTTCTCTTATACGTTTAAAGATATATTTTTTTTCATTAATCTTAATGCAAAAAATTTTAATTTTGCTCCAAGAGAATCTTAAAAAACTTACCTAACCTTATTATAACAAGAACAATTTATTTTAGCCTAACCCAACTAAATATATTTTAGATTTGTTTACAATAATTTAATACTAAACAAACACAGTGAAATATTTTTTTTCGTTAGGTTCAGAATGATTTTGGCGAAATTATTGCATACACAAATTTTCGCTTGTCCTATATGGCAAGATGAGCGTTGCTATTTAAGCCAAGATGGCAAGTTCTGCCTATTCGGCACGACATATATATATATATATATATATATATATATATATATATATATATATATATATATATATATATATATATATATATATATATATATATATATATATATATATATTATAAACAATAAATTGTTAATTGTCAAAACACTGTTACACGTAAGTGATGATTATAAATTCAAAGGGAAGTGGTTTTATACATTTCTCTGCAAAGCCCTATGTTACGTATTGCTGTGGCATAAATATTACAGACGAAATACAACAACAACCTCTCATAAAAGTTTAAGCAGAGTCAGTATTTTTTTTTTTTTACACTGCAGGAGAGCCACGGGCTTGGGAAGCGCAGGTTCGGTGCTTCTCCTCAAAAGCCCAGAACGGAGAATGGTATGACTTCAATGAACCCGTTCCCGACTTGGCCAGCTACTCCTTTGACAACACCATCGAGAGCGCCACGGTAACTGGCATGTAAGTTACTGAAGCCCAGGTATTGACACTAACATGTGCCACACAGTTACCAGCATGTGTCTCTATCGACCCTAAGTGAGACACCTGAGTCAGTTTGCCTGTTTCCCCGGTAAAGCAGCAGTTCAGACTTATGGACCAACACAGAAGATTGTATGACGCGGAGACGAAATTTTTCCATGCCTGAGATAACGCATGCTCGTGTTAGGGAGAGAAATGGGCTTAGAATAACAGCATTTTTTTTAGTCGCCCACATATAATAAGAAAAAAATAGTCTCTGTTGTCTCTGTTCTTGTTAAAAGGAAGTTTGTTATCAGATAATGCATAAGGAATATCTATAAGATAAGATTTCGTTCGGATTTTTAACCCCGGAGGGTTAGCCACCCAGGATAACCCAAGAAAGTCAGTGCGTCATCAAGGACTGTCTAACTTATTTCCATTGGGGTCCTTAATCTTGTCCCCCAGGATGCGACCCACACCAGTCGACTAAGACCCAGGTACCTATTTGCTGCTAGGTGAACAGGACAACAGGTGTAAGGAAACGTGTCGAAATATTTCCACCCGCCGGGAATCGAACCCAGGCCCTCCGTGTGTGAACCGGGAGCTTTAGCCACCAGGCCACCGGGCCTGATATATATAACAAAAATGCAGGGAGTTCCTTACCGGTATAATAACTAAGTATATTATACCTTACTGTTTACATGTTTATGGAACTTGTCTGTCAGTGAGTCAGATCGATTTTTTGAAGGTTAGCTAAACTGATTTTTCTAATAACTTTTTTGGTGATAATGAGCACCAAAATGCATATTAGTAGAGTACTGAGTGACTGATAACTGATGGAGCACTGCTGTTAGACGTGAGAAAGGTATAGCGAGGGTGCAGCTGTTGATGGCATCTATATTGTTTGTGTACATACAAGAAAAGTCGACTTGTCTCCATCGTCGACAGTTCTGCTGAAATGTGAAATGACTCCTTCAGCCATAACGAATAGAGACCAGAGATGAGAAGTCCTTCATGGTCGTCTGTTTCATCTAACAGAGGGAATCAGGGCGGGAAGAGACAGTTCCTCGAAGAGTTTGGTGCATATTCAGGATGTGAGCGAATTTGAGCTTGAATAGAATTTCGCCGGTTCTTTCATTAATGAGGTTCTAGATACGTCTCTGATGTCTTGCAAGTGTCAGAATGCTTATCTTCATAATCAAAACAGTGCAAAAATTTCATTCCGCGATGTTTTATCGGTGAACTCCAAGTCTCATTTCCCTTAACACCAGCCCCTAGTTACATCTTCATTGTTTTTTGCATTATTATTATTATTATTATTATTATTATTATTATTATTTTTACTATTATTATTATTAATTGCGAAACACTAAACTCAGGGGCCGTAAAGTGCTTGGGAAATAGGAATTGATGAGGTTGAATCCAAGGAATGGAAGGATAGCTCCAGTTCCTTAAGTCACGGGCTCTTTAACAGCATTAGGGCACCCCTCTAGAATGGGCTTCAAACCAACACTGCTGGTTGTCACCGCCTGGCCTGGGCAGATACAGAAGCTTGATGGTGATTGATGAGCCTAAGAGCACACAAAATAGATTCCCCTTATCCATATATTTTTTAAGCATATGAGTACTAACTGTCAGTAGAATTTTTGGTATATCCTATTCTCACCAATATTTTACTTTAGTTTATTTTTCAAAGTTTCAATTCCGACAACATCGGTATTGCTAGTCTGGTGCCAGCATCAGCAATGGTAATAACACATTTGTAGTTAAGAGTGGCTCGCGTGAAGTGTCAGTAACAACGTTACTCTTCCGTAGGTGGATATTTTACGAGGAGACCGACTACAACGCCTTCAACGCAGGCTTCGTCTATTGGATACATGGAATCGATTTCTCTACGGACTTCGACTCACAGTATAGCAACACGGTAAGGCTTAAAGCAACACGGTAAGGCTTAATCCTACCCTCTGAAGCCATTAATTACACGCCCTCTACTGATATCTTTTATAATTTAGCATTCCTGATATATCAGGAACTTTAAGATGGATCTCTCTTTCTCGGCGTTCTCAGGCCTCATCGCTGAGGTACGCTGGAAGTGCTTTCGACCTCAACGAAGATTCCTGGACAGTGTACACTGGCCAGGGCTTCACCGAGGGCGCACTCTTTGGGAACACCGATGCCTCCACCCTCGGCCGCTTCTCGGGTGAAGTGTCTTCTATCATCGTCACTGGCACGAGCGACTGGACCTTCTACCAGTAAGTCAAATTGGGGGCCAGTTACATCCTCTAAGCCAAGAAATTTTCTTATCCAATAATAAGAGTATCGAAGATAGCAATTAGGATATCAGTGATCAGTATGTAATAATATAATATCTCGAGTTGTTTAGCAAGGAAAATTTAGCTAATCCCATATTTAGTAGAGAGTTTCCTCTTAACTGTAAATGGCTGGGTAAACTGTGGTCAGGTTAAGAAAATGTCCGTTTGTGGAGCTATACTCTTCATATAAAAGATTTTTTAAAATAGTAAGTGATTGACAGACATTCTGTAACTCATGAAATGTTAATATAATTTGTTTTTCATGTGGTGGCAGGGGTGAAGGGTTCACCGGGAGCAGTGTATGTCTCACACCCGACATCCATCACACCTCCGACGTCAGGAGGTTCGACGTGGGCATCTTCCCTACGGTAATGTGAACACTCACACACACACAGAGAAAAAGAGGAAAGGGCAAAGACAATTAGAACCTTTAGTTTAACCAAGGACGCACAGAAACAAAAAAAAGCGTAAGAGATCATGTACTTTGCTTTATACGAACTGTCAAATGATCTTGTTTGCTTGCGGTTTTCACCGTATATAATATTATCACTAAGAACGCATAGTGGAAAAAATAAGAAAGTGAACATGCAAGCACACACTCGATCCCGTAGCAAACCCAATTGGGCATCCTCTCGTTTGCATTTCCCAAGAATTACATTTAACTCTTTCATTTTTTGGTTCGATCCCTAGCAGGAGACTGTACCACTGAATTTCCCGTCTAATACTAATGAACCTCATAGCATCCCCTTTACACTTCGCGAATTTACATCGATGATATCGAATGCCAACCTACAACAGCCAGACCAGGAGATATTCATATTCAACTTCTCCATTACCTCCTCTTATACCTTTTCAACTAAATATTTTCCGAAAGCGCGTTACCTCTGCAGTGGAGAGCTGCAATGGTCCGTTTTTTTCGAAACCCGGGTACCTTGGGCTAAACACTTAGTATTTAGACCCATCGCTTTTACCAGTACTATTCGAAATGGTGTCTAGTTAACGAACGCTTTATGTGGTACATGGAGACCGAAAACTGTCTCTTCCCTCATCAGTTTGGCTTTCAAGCAGGCCGTTCTAGCGTCGACCCCCTTCCATGTTTAGACATACTCAGGCAAGGAAACCCTGGCATTAACTTGCACCATACACCACAATTCTGACGATCCTCATATGCCCACACTGATGAACCGCACTAAGATTACATTTAAAAGTCAGGTAATTATAGAATGCCATACTTCCTTCTTATACATTCCTCGTTGCGAGATAACCAAGTGCCAAGGCAAATAAATGGCCACCCCTAGCTTAATGACCTGTATATAGGTCGCCAGTCATTAGGTCCAACAAAGGAAGGTAGTAAGGCACGGTAAACTGATAATGTTTTGGACCATTTTATTCACGTAACAAAGTTAATCTGGAGGAAAACCAGTTTTATACATTTCTAAACTTATTGCCAAATATGTTACAGTTACCAATTATTTGTTTGAAGTTGTGTTTACAAGTTTTAACATCACTAATCTAGTACATTTTGACCCACAGCCCTCCGACTTCGACCTGACGGACAATAGCATCAGATCTGTAAGAAAGGGCTGCCACTCTCAGTAGCAGCAATTGCTACGCACAGCAGCAGGGACTGGTACTCATGGGTTGTTGAAGGTACCATGTAGGATGTGGACCTCTCACTGAAGGGAGTGTCTGGGTTACATCCATGTCCAGAAGTACTTCCAAAACCTACAATATACCCATAATCCTGGAAGCCTTTGTAACATGGCAAATTCTGTCAATAAACTCCTCTAGAATAATACTATCGTCTTTTCAAGTAGCATTCTTTGCATAAGGCAGATTTTACTCCTTTTAGCTTTAGTCCCATAAGTATAGAGAATGTTTTCTTCTGAAATTTTATTTAACTTATGCTTTCCTTTCAGTCATTTTTACATAAAAAAAATATGAAGTGTATTGGCAGTATTTTAAGTTTTTTGTAGAAAAACAAAAAAAAAAAAAAAAAAAAAAAATCTAAGTGCTTGACAAAAATGACAATTCTTCTTTTCCCAAAGAGCATCTGAATTTGTATAAGAGTTCAAAATTTACCTGAAGAAACCTCTCAAGTTCGAGAGCGGGTCTGAGAGCGAAAAATAAACACATAATTTCACGAAACAGTGTAGAGTTTTGTATTTACGACAGCAGACATATACTTTACACTGATCATGGACGATTTTACCTAAAACACTCAGGATAGATAAGTACCCATTTACCCGTTTATACGGAAAGAGTTCTACAAATTCTGATTGTGTTATGTGCTTTATATAAACCTGCTCCTGAATAAAGAACATAAGAACATAAGAAAGAAAGAACACTGCAACAGGCCTACTGACCCATGCGGAGCAGGTCCATGTCCCCCCCGGATTAGACCAATGACCCCCCCCCCCGGATTAGCCAAATGACCCACCCAGTCTGATCATCTCCACTCAAGGATGGAGCACTGCAAAAGACCCAGCAGCACAAGCTAGTCAGGTCCAACTCACACCCACCACCTGTAACCATAGGATGTGCAAGAGATTATAATTTATTACTCTTAGTTTTTATTAATAAGCATATAACGATCCAGTAACATAAATGGCATTCAGCACCAACAGGTTGACGAATAAGACACATGTGCAACATTAAACATCTTTATTGATGATTCCTAGTGCTGCATATAAGTCTTGCTCATCAATTTAATGATCTAACAATTCTATGTAAATACACTGAATAGTTTAATGTTGGAGTGGTTTGGGTGAGTATACGATGGTTGTTGAAATGCTTTGGGAGAGTATAAGATGGCTGCTGGAGTACATTTCGAGAGTTTAATACGACCCCTGGCTGTCTTCAAGAAGGCACTGGATAGGCACCTAAAGTCAGTACCTGACCAGCCGGGCTGTGGTTCGTACGTTGGATTGCGTGCGGCCAGCAGTAACAGCCTGGTTGATCAGGCCCTGATCCACCATGAGACCTGGTCACAGACCGGGCCGCGGAGGCGTTGACCCCCGGAACTCTCTCAAGGTATACTCCAGGTATAGTGTCTAGCGTTAGCGTTATTCCCACTAGTACACCACTAAAGAACATGTAAATTCCTATCAGATACTTGTGTTAACTCAGTTATTCCAGTGTTGAATATACACTTATATAATGGCATAATAAATCCTACTTGTGGATTTATGAGTACAAATCAAAATGAGAGTAACAGAGAGTGATATGTTTTTCTACCATAAATTCCACAAATGGACCAGTAGACCGTAAGTATTTCTCCGATATCTGCAGCATCAACACATGACAAACCATTCTTTAGCGTTCTTATCTTACTCTCAGTGAAAATATGTGTTAAACGTATTCTTTATGAATTCATTAGGCTCAGCTCTAAATGAAACGTTGCATTGCAATTCAGCTTTTATTTGATCTCTGCAAAACTGTGACATATCTCTGCTCCAGTATCTTACACAATACAGGTTGAGGAAATGATAATCATCCCAGAAGTTTATGAACCACGAAAATACATAACGTGAAGGTACATCTTATCTCTTATCAGTAGTCACAATGATCTCTATTTTACTTGCGTTTAACATCGAATTTAATGTTACTCGTTTTCTTTGACAGAAAAACCTTCGTTGTAGAAAATGAAGTCCTAAGAATTTTAAGGTAAGCAAAAATAATTTGTTTCCCTTAGACTGATTTTTTTTTTCGGTCACTCAGTCTGGTTTATTTCAGAAGGGGTCCTTTGATCCCCCTCTCCAAAATCCGACCTGTAATATTTAGCTACAACTCAGGTGCTCATCAGACTATCTATAATATGAATGATTAGATGAGCTTCATACTGGTTTTATGCAAGTTATATCATAGGCAGTATCATGTTGTTCACAGTGGCTGCATGAAGCCAGGGGCGGATCTACTATGAAACTAATGAAGCTTAAGCTTCAGGGCCCCTAATCTCGGAGAGACCCCAGAAACGACTTTAGTCCACATTGCTTCAAAATTTTGGACCTACTGTACGAGAAAGGGTTGCTAAGATAAGATAAGATTTCGTTCGGATTTTTAACCCCGGAGGGTTAGCCACCCAGGATAACCCAAGAAAGTCAGTGCGTCATCGAGGACTGTCTAACTTATTTCCATTGGGGTCCTTAATCTTGTCCCCCAGGATGCGACCCACACCAGTCGACTAACACCCAGGTACCTATTTGCTGCTAGGTGAACAGGACAATAGGTGTAAGGAAACGTGTCGGAATTTCCACCCGCCGGGAATCGAACCCGGGCCCTCCGTGTGTGAAGCGGGAGCTTTAGCCACCAGACCACCGGGCCACCATAGCATAAGGGGCCCCCATAGCTGTTCAAGTTTCAGGGCCCCTAAATGTAGGTCAGTCACCGCATTAAGCACATAGTTATATGTAAAATAGGAACCATTACCAGATATGTAACATTAACAGATAAATACACTTATATATGATGGTGTTTTAACATTATGTAAGATAATATTATATAAGCAAGCCCGGCAAAGATAGATAACCTTAATTTTTAAAAGGATGGACAGATAAGCCAGTGGAAAGCTTCGGTCAGATGACCAAAAAGCCCAGCTACGGGTTTTCATATAAATAAAACCCGCGTCAGGAAACACATGTCCTGTTTGCTGACGAACCTTATCTGTCCTAAAGCAGCAAAGTTTAACAGTGTGACATATTTATCTCTATCTTATTCTTTAAGTAATATTTAGGAAGAGTTGCCTGCCGTCCTTATAGTCAGCAAAAGTAAATACTAACGACAGTACTAATATGTAAAATTTAAGATTGCTTGACGTGGCATTTACTTGTACTTGCTATGTGAGGCTGGTCACAGACCGGGCCGTGGGGGCGTTGACTCTCGAAACCCTATCCAGGTATACTCCAGGTATGCGGAAGAATGGCTTCGTATTATCACTCCCGTATCGTTAATAACGCAGGACAACCCATGAAAGCCAAGAAGTGTACCCACGACTCACGAAATCGTAATGACACGATTGTAAACAAACCATACCACGGGCGGGGATAGAACCCGCGATCAGAGAGTCAAAACGTCTCGACCGTGGCTAAGGCGACGGTCTAGAGTTTTGAGACTCTGATCGCGGGCTCTCTCCCCGCCCGTGGTATGGTTAGTGTGCCCACAATGTTCGACTGATCTCTAACATGACAGAAAAGAGTATTACTGGTGTCTGCAAGTCTAACACATCTTTTGTGTTCTTTAAGTTTGTCAGAAAGAGATCGGCCAGTTTCTCCTAAGTACTGAAGAGGACAAGAGGAGCAGGAAACAGAGTAGACTCTATTTGTCCTCTTCACTATTCGACTAACCTTTAGACACCTATTAACTGCTAGGTAAACTGGGAAAGCAGGTAATAGGAGATCTGCCCACATGTCTCACCTTTCCCAGCATTCAAACCCGGGTTATCCTGCTTGTGAACCGATCGCTTCACTTCTGAGTTATAAAAAAAAAAATATGTTTTATAAGTATTACCAAAATTAAAGAGACAAAACTGTACGGCTACTCTTATTTATATGACATCTTACAACGTTAGAACATGAATTATGTTTAAATATCACACACACCCTTCATGCATAATGTTTACCTGTTATAATATATCACGGTAATCCCCAAACTTTTTCTAGTCTGAGGATCCATTGAAGTCAATAAAAAGTTTGTGGCCTTAAGTGTACGTTTGGAGAATTTTGACTTTATAGACTCGAAATCTCCTACTGAGGTGCCGTCCTTAAAGTCAACAAGAAGTAAATACTAACGACAGTACTAATAGACAGTAAATAAATCGAGTATTTTAACCAGTCATTGTGATTCAAACCATCAAATCAAATCAATTCTAACCCTTCATTTCCTATTAGAGTACAATGTGTACTTTACATGTAAAAAATATTGTCAAGCCAGTGCCGGATCAGCCGGGCTGTGGCTCGTACGTCGGACTGCGTGCGGCCAGCAGTAACAGCCTAGTTGATCAGGCCCTGATCCATCGGGAGGCCTGGTCATGGACCGGGCCGCGGGGGCGTTGATCCCCGGAATAACCTCCAGGTAACCTCCAGGTAAGCACAAAGAAAACCACTAGCATGCATGAGCATTTCTGGAAAATCGTGGACCAGGCAGGCTGGACCAACTCTTGGAATTCGAGATAAGAGCATGTGTGTCAACGCATATTAAGATTCATCATTCCACCATTACAAAATAAGTCTCCGACGCAGAACAGTGAAGTTACTGGAGGCGATAATTGGGCCAGTTTCCAACTAGCCAGGTTCTCATGCACAGGCCATGCAACATTAGAGAGCGCTTTAGATGAAGGTGAAGCAAATTTGATAAGTAGAGGAAGGGAAGGTACTGGCGAAGCAAGTGCAGGAGAGGTGAGGAGAAGGGGGAGGTGGAAAGCCCGTGGCTTGGTTGGCAACGCTGTCGCTTTACACACCGAGTGTCCGTGATTCAATCCCCAGCCGAGTAGAAATATTAAGCATGTTTCCTTACACCTGCTGTTTCTGTTCACCCAGCAGTAAGTACCTGGGTGTTAGCTGAATAGAGTGGGTCACATCCTATGAGGACAATATTGAATGACCACAATGGAACTGAAACAGTCAGTCCTCTATAACGCACTTTGTTTTTTTTTGGGGGGGGGGATTATTGTGGATAGCTAACCCTCCAGGTTCAAAATCCGAACAAATCTTATCTTACCCAGCTGTACATCAGCAAGTGTAGCTTGCAGCTGTGACAGATCATCCTCCCCTCCTCTCGCCACGCCAGGAGTACCTGGCCGGGCGAGAGGAGGGGGTTGATGTGAAGATTCCTCTCACAATACCTAAAATCTGACACCAGTTCTCTAGTTCTGAAAAGATAAAGCTATGAGGAAGGTGGATTTCTACTCCAATGGGCAATGGGTGAACGTGAGTGGGTCTTGTGTGGCAGGGATGTGTTCTGTTTCGTAAATGGCCTGGTTAATGAAGGGGGTTGGTAAATTCAGAAAGTCGTGAGAGGAAAAAAATGCGAAAGAAGACTAGATGGGAAAGAGTAATTCTGTAACATCGGGAAGAATATATGAGAGATAGAATTCTGGTAGAGAAGAGAGGGAGGTACTGGCTTCCAGAGTACTATTTTAATGGGATGGGAACGAACGAAATCTTTCAAAATGTCTCTACTCTTCACCTTTACATTTGAAAGCACACACTGAAAGAGCTCTAAAGAAAGCTCTCTCGGCTCACTGAAAAAACTGTTTGGAATGAAATGTATGCTACAAATAAAGATTTGCGCACATATCTCTCATTTCCTTAGGTGCTATATTACCCTTATGAGTTTAGCACTTTCCGATAATAACGATAATAATAATAATAATAATAATAATAATAATAATAATAATAATAATAATAATAATAATAATAATAATAATAATAATAATATCTTCACCTCTCGACTTCTCTCCTGTAGAATTTCCTTCTCTAAGCAAATACAGTTCCGTAATAGTTTCCACGAACGGCTGAAACAACTGCCACAACAGTAATGTATGTTCTCCGAGAACACGTAGTGACAATTAATCAGAGAAAATTACGTAAGACATAAGAGGGTGATCACTGTGTAGTGTTTAGCAGAAAAACAACACTGGCGTGTGACTGACATGTCATTAGCAGCCATCAGCTCACTTGTTCAGCCTTGGAAGTGGTCTCATGATTAATGATGTCATAGGTTAAACTACATGCTGTGCCGAGTTTAATTCTTTTTTGCATGTGAAAATTGTAGAGTGTAATTATACTTTTATAATAGTGCATTTGTAGTGGTGTCCTGTCTTCTGTTATTTTTTTTTTTTTTTCAAATTATCAATAATTTTTGCATTTTGTATTCCACCGGCGGTAATCATTTACCGATGTGTGTGTGCGTGAGTGCCTGCTCGCGACGTCTAGTGTTTCTGGTCGTTCGCTGCTTCAAGTGTTTTTGGTCGTTCGTGACGTCAAGTGTTTCTGGTCGTTCACGTGGGTTCCTGAGTGGAGATAGCTGTGATAACAGATGTTACAGTGCCACCTGATGATCGATCCCCCTTCCCCTACCATCCTCGTGGTAACGATTCACATGCCACCTTCATTTATCACAGCTTGTCTCTTGTGGCCTCCGTCTCCTCGACTCTTGTGTGGCGTGACACTCAGCATTATACCCGCCAGAGCCGCTGTCAGCACCATAACAATATGGATGCCTCCATTACACCTGTTTCTGTTGAGCTGCAGAGAAAAATTATTTTAGTGCTTGTGATGTGGGGGAAGGGGCAGTGAAGGACCTGCTCTCGTCACCATGGTAACACTGCAAACACGTCGTAGTCAGCTGGTATGCTCCACACTTGTATCTGGACTGTTGACTGGCTCGAGGCTCCAGTCATCATGGTCTCGCTCCCCCGACCTGTTGGTGCAACACGCCGCTTCCTCCATCACCATGACGGAATGTGCCGATACAGCCTCCCGAGTTCATACAGCTGTAACCATTACATAAACATCTGAATCCTCTCAAATACTAAACAATAATTCTCTGTATTTCTGTAATAATGTGATTTCTTAAATTATTACCATAAGACTGCTTACAGTGGATATAACGAAAATACCGAACCATGAGTCACGACTCAGTATTGATAGGTAAAATATTTTCGTGCAGTTATGATTATCATACCTTAAACTCACCTTGGAGAATAGTAAATATGTGAACACGATCATGATGACCTTGAATTGAATCGGCTAGAGGAAATTCAGACCAGTGACCGCGTGTAGCAAGTGTGGATTAACCCGGTGCAATACCGGTGTAGGGTGACCTTGTGTCTTACTTCCTTGTAGTGTACTGGTGGGGTGACTTGTGCTTCTGACCATGCCTCGCCGCGTCAAACAAATTTTGGCTGAAGACCGAATCACCAGGACTCCGTCTGACCTGGTAAGTTAATAGCTGGTTAATCAGTACAACCTTGTATTTATTTAAGTTACATGTCTATATAGAGAATAAAGTGGCTCAATACAGTGACTGGAACAATACAAAAATGATACGTTCTTAGAAGAATGAAACTGATGGATTTTAGTTATTAATAGCCCCGTCCATTGTATGACAACATGAGTGCAGACATATTCCACAGCATCCTACCTGATTTGCTTACTACTGTTGCCTAACCACCTGAACCTCATTTCCTGTACCTGGTAATCCAGGGGTCTCTGTTATCAGTAGATCTCCAAATACCACTTGCGGACGATGACTCCGAGATATAGCCGAGTTATATAACCGGATGTGTCACGCTATACTGAGTACTGATAACAATCACAGTCCTCTCTGCAACCACTTATGTGGCCGGTACATTAATCAAGTGATATTCTGCTATCGATTAAAATGCACAATATCCTGGCTGAAATAATTCATAAACTATTTTCCATTTTCAGGTGTTGGATTAATTGCTAATAATGTAATCCTGTCAAATATATTGTCATATAACATAAGCTGTCATTAATGTGAATATTTTTTTTAATAAAGTTTCTCATAGCCAAAGTTGTAGGAGTTCCAAAGTTATGAGGTAGTTGATGTCATGTGCTGTCTCATGTGCTGATCTACTGGAGTGGGACAATTTAGTACAAGGGTTGTCAGTGCTTACGAGGAACTTGTATTCAAGGGACTACTGAGTTACAGGTAGCCAGCACTAGTTACGAGAATTTCGAATCTTCGTAATAATAACAAAAATATAATGGGTATTTTTCGAAGGCAGTGAGAGAGGCTTACAAATGAAGCGTTTTCTCTTGATTGTAAATTTATTTAAATTATGATGAATCTATATTTCTAAAAGCAATTCGTAGCTTGCTCTATAGTGTTGCACTACACGCTAAGCATCCACCAGCTGTCCAGGGATATCTCTTGATAACTTGAAGCTATGTTCCTACATCAGCTTAAAAGAATGAACAACAACTAAAGTTTATTTGAAGAGCGACATCATCCATCACAACTTTATTTTTGTCTGCTTTATCAGCCATCACAACTTTATTCTTGTCTGCTTTATCAGCCATCACAACTTTATTCTTGTCTGCTTTATCAGCCGTTCCCCACAATTTTATTCTTGTCTGCTTTATCAGCCGTTCCCCACAATTTTATTCTTGTCTGCTTTATCAGCCGTTCCCCACATCACTCAGAAACTTCTAACAGCAGCAGTAAGCCTGAATGCCTTCCACATCCCTCCCCCAGGCGTTGTATAATCCTACGGATTTAGCGCTTCCCCCTTGATTATAATGATAATAACAATTCTAACAGCAGCCAATCATTTCTCACATAGCCAGTAGAGTCAAGTATCGTATCAAGACCAGCGTTAGCTAACAAATATTTTAACAACAACAAGTCAAGTCATTCGTATTGAGAGCCTCGCCAGATGTTTCTCAAGTAACTCATGGGATATCCGTCATTGATTACAGATATACTGATGAAATCTTCCAGTTTCGTGACCCCAAGGTCTCGCCACTCGATGTAATCGCTATGATGTCAATAAACCCATCCTCTTCCAATAAATTATATTATTTTACAGTGCTTCTGAGCACGTTCCTTCATTTTTAAAACATCAAAGCAATTGGTACTTTTAAATACTTTTGACTACAGTTAAGAAGTCCTAATTTCTTGTGGAAATTCCGCTAATTCTTAATAATTTCTAATCATATTGGGAAAATGCACTAAGTCCTAATTAGGTGAAGATAATATTAGGAACCTTATCAATTAATGTTTCCAGTTACTCAGTTCCTATCTTCTTACGATCACTTCCAAAAGCTCCATTATTCCTATTTCTTTTAAATCATTTACACAAACTACATAATTTTTTATTAATGTCGGTAAAGTCACTCCCAGAAACTAAATTTTCTTCTTCTTTTTCAGTTACTTCTATAAATTCGTCTTGGTACTTTGCAGTATCAACATTTTTCAGTTATCCCATTTCTGTTAAATCATATTATTATTATTATTATTATTATTATTATTATTATTATTATTATTATTATTATTAATAGTAGCAGTAGTAGTAGTAATAGTATAATTATTATAATAAATTATTATTATTGCTGTTATTATTATTATTGTTATTGTTATTATTATTATTATTATTATTATTATTATTATTATTATTATTATTATTATTATTATTACTTTTATTATATTAAACGATAGACGCTCATGAAAAAGTTTTATCCAGTTCTGGAACTTCCTTTATTTTCTTTATATTTTGTCCAGGCCAAAAAATATTCAAATTACTTCCACGAATTTCATTTATTGCTAAAAATTTACATACTTTTACAGAAAAAAATATTACATATTATTTTTATGAATTTTCAGTACTTTAAAATTATTTTTTGTCAGTGAGTATGTGTGTGTGTGTGTGTGTGTGTGTGTGTGTGTGTGTGTACTCACCTAATTGTGGTTGCAGGGGTCGATTCATAGCTCCTGGCCCCGCCTCTTCACAGGTCGATACTAGATTACTCTCTCTCCTTACTTCATGAGTACCATACCTCTTTTTAAAGCTGTGTATGTGTGTGTGTGTGTAAAACAAGTACGTGTATACAGTGTCCTTGAAAAATATGGGATTCATCAGCTAGAGTGTTTCAGCCAATTTAAGTGAGAGCACTTATGCAGAGGCGACTCAGCCCACTTAATTACATTCCCGAACGCAGCCACCGACACTCAAGTGTTTGTACCCCGTAATTACAGATGATGTGAAAGAGTTTCTCATCGTGCTTTGATGGTGATGAGGAATGAAGAAATTGTGATGAAATACGCACATATTATCGACGAGCTTTCCTAGAAAATAGCTTTAATATTACAGCAGTGGTGACGGTGGTAGTGGTGATGATGGTGCACAAAGGAAGTGAAGGTAGAGGAGGTGACGGTGGTAGTGATGATGAACAAGGGAAGTGAAGGTAGAGGAGGTGACGGTGGTAGTGATGATGGTGAACAAGGGAAGTGAAGGTAGAGGAGGTGACGGTGGTAGTGATGATGGTGCACAAGGGAAGTGAAGGTAGAGGTAGTGACGGTGGTATTTATGAGGGTGATTTGCTTAGGTTAGGTTAGGTTAGGTTTGGTCAAGTTAGATTAGGTTAGGTTAGGTTAGGGAAGGCTAGGTTAGGTTAGGTTAGGGTAGGGTAGACTAGGTTAGGCTAGGTTAGGCAAGGTTAGGTAAGGTTAAGCTAGGGTAGGTCAGGTTAGGTTAGGTTAGGTTAGGGTAGGTTAGGTTAGACTTGGTTAGATTAGGTTAGGTTATAGTAGGCTAGGCCAGATTAGATTAGGTTAGGTTAGGTTAGGTTAGGTTAGGTTAGGTTAGGTTAGGTTAGGTTAGGTTAGGTTAGGTTAGGCTAGGCTAGGTTAGGCTAGGTTAGGGTAGGCTAGGCCAGGTTAGGTTAGGTTTGGTTTGTTAGGAAACAGCACAAGCACAAGAGTTTCCCGACGTGGGTCTTAGTCGTATGATGACCCACAGCTTGAGCTTTGGATGATGGTGGTTCTCTTGTTAGACATAACAGTAGTGGCAGGTGATGATATAATAATAATGATAACAATTTATATTATCATTCTTATTGTTTATTACTCACGGAAATAATTGGGTTCATTTTAAGTGTAAGAAAGTCCTAAAAGTAGCGCATTCGCCTGCGCTCCACGAATTTAGTTACTATTTCGCGAGTAAATAATAATAATAATAATAATAATAATAATAATAATAATAATAATAATAATAACAATAATAATAATAATAATAATAATAATAATAATAATAATAATAATAATAATAATAATAATAATAATAATAATAATAATAATAATAATAATAATAATAATAATAATAATAATAATAATAATAAAATATATACATCTCGATCGGTGAACGATCCGAGATGCATATACAGGATGTTTCAAATTTATGGGCCCAGTTTCAGTCAGCTATGAAACACTGAATACATGGCAGCCACACCATGAGTTGCATGAATCAGCATTGAAAGTTGAATTCGATCGGCTGAGGCGTTCTCGAGTTATAAACGAAAGTTTGAAGATATGAAAAGACGGAAAAACATCCAGAAACACCGTAACATAATCACTGTTTACACCTCGTGAATTACAATGTTTATGAAAGGTCATCATTTCCCCTGTTAATAAATGGATGGGCTGAAGACACACATGTTTACGGCTGAAGGACTCGAACCCATGACTCACGAAATCGTAATGACACGATTGCAAACAAACTATACCACGGGCGGGGTTTGAGATTCTCTGATCGCGGGTTCTAACCCCGCCCATGGTACGGTTTGACTTGAATCCATCTCGCTGTGAAGAAATATCGCAAGAATGAGAATTATTGAGAAACACACAGAAAGCGAGGATAAGTGCATAATATACAGCAGACACTTATCTCCAAGAGTAAGTAGAAGTATGTAGGAGTGTTGCGCTTTATGTTTATAATTCAAAGAAACACACCAAAAATTCCAGAGTGCAAAACATTTATTGGATTACCTTTTTTCAGTCAGTGATATAACCTTGACCGGTTTCAAGGTTTTCGGCTGTGAGATATCTTTGACCGGTTTCAGAGGTTCATTGCTGACTGATTCCGAGGATTCCACCTGTGATATTTCTGACTGGTTTCGATGGGTTTACCTCTTACTGGTTTCAAGAGTTTACCTCTGACTGGTTTCAAGGGTTTACCTCTGACTGGTTTCAAGGTTTACCTCTGACCGGTTTCAAGGTTTACCTTTGACCGGTTTCAAGGTTTACCTCTGAGTGTTTTCAAGGGTTTACCCCTGACTGGTTTCAAGGCTTTACCTCTGACTGTTTTCAAGGCTTTACTTCTGACTGGTTTCAGGATTTACCTCTGACTGTTTTCAAGGGTTTACCTCTGACTGGTTTCAGGGTTTACCTCTGACTGGTTTCAAGGGTTTACCTGT